TGGGGCACAAAGCCATAATGAAGTTCATGGAGAATCTCCTGGGGCCCAGGGTGGTCACTGGGCTAGGGCCCTCTTGGGGTCTGTGTTGGTTCAGTCCTGGGAGAGCAGAAGAGAGGTGTGAGAGACAGGTGGGGAGGTTCCTCTTTCCCCCCCTCCCCACCCCGCCAGCATCCTCACCTCTTGCAGCCTTTGGAGCCCCTTCCTTTCTTCCCAGACTTAGAGGTTCCTCTGTTCTTCCTGCAGCCCGGGCTTTGTTTCCCTGAGGCTGCAGGCTGGTCAAGGCGTTTCATCAGCTTCTGCACCCAGCCTTCTTCAGGGTTTGCACACAGCTCAGGCTGAGTGCGCTTCCGGGGTAAGAACCTGAGAATTGGAGGGTAGTAAGCTTTCTTAGTCTGGCCCACCACTGCCTCCCCTACTCGACCCCCAGCCTGTACCCACCCCTCTATCGCTGAGAGGGTGCAGCCTAAGCTTGGCTCTTGCTTCCTGTAGCCTCGGACAATACTGTAGGGAATCTTCCTCTGGCTGTACTTGAGGCAGCAATCCTGACCTCCGCCATCACTGCCTGCAAGATAGGGCACATAGAACCAGAGGCAGCTAGGAAGAAAGTGCCTCTTTAGCTCCCTTCTCCCAGCCAAAGCCTCTCCCTCCTTGGTACCTTGGGTCCAGGGGATGCAGAGAGCCAGGACCAGGGTAAGGAGGCTCAGAGCCAGTGTCTGAGCCATGGTTGTGGTTGAGTTGAGGATGAGACCAGAGCTGTGAGTGAGATGGACAGCTGCAAGTTGGGGTCTGTGTGTGGGCTGTGACTGGCTTGCTGCCTATTTATGCATTCTGACACTTGGGCTTCCCTCTCTCCCCCTCCTTTTCCTGCGAGTTGGGTCTGGTCGGGAGGTGTTAGTGAGCGCTAGCATACGAGTCAGTCAGTCCCTGCCTCTGTCCTCATCTCTTCCTGGTCCTTCCTCACTGCCCTGCAGGCTCCACACATTTCCAGCTAATAATTAAGAGTTCTATGTCCCTGATGATAGGCCTTAATTTAGATACACGATGTGGAAATGTGTCCTCTCGTTCTACGGGTTTCCCTTTTGGGAGTGCACAAAACCGAGAAGTTGTGTGAAGTCCAATTTTCCCTTTTCCCCTATGACCTGTGATGTTGGTATCACAATCTCACAAATTTAAAAAGCATTCCAGATCCAACCCCGTGAAGGTTTCCTCTGGCTTTTTTGTTTTTGTTTTTAAGTTTAAGTCATGTATTTATGTGTGTGCATGAGTGGAAGGGGTGGGTGAGATGGTGTGGATTGAGCCCACGTCACCTGAAAGATCAGCACCTGTCCTGAAGGGCTGAGCCGTCTCTCTGCCCCGCCCTTAAGTTTTGTTTTGTTGTTGTTTTCATTATTCCTTTTGCTTTTTGGGATTATAGTTATACAGTTTCTCCCTTCCTATTCCTCCCTTGAGATTCTCAGACAGACTGCCAAATCTGAGCAGGGGATATCTTTTTATGTATTCAGGCCTGCTTTAATTAGCAATATTTCATAATTTTCAAAGTAAAAGTCTTATACCTACACGATTAAGTTTATTTTGTAAGTATTCTGCTTGATGCTGTTATAAATGTTATTTTCTTCTTAATTTCCTTTCGGGATTTTTTTTTTTTTCTGAGATAGGGTCTCTTTACATAGCCCTGTCTGGCCTGGGACTTGCTCTGTAGACCAGGCTACCTTTAAACTTAGAGGTCTATATGCCTCTGCCTCCCAAGTGTTGGAATTAAAGGTGTGTGCCCCTATATCTGGCATATAGGACCCTCTTACAACCCTTTTTATTTATGTTAAATAATAGTGGTGTCTGCTTTCTTTTCTGACTTCAATGACTTCATTTTTTTTTTTTTTTTTGAGACAAGGTTTCTCTGTAGCTTTGGAGCCTATCCTGGCACTTGCTCTGGAGACCAGGCTGGCCTCGAACTCACAGAGATCCACCTGCCTCTGCCTCCTGAGTGCTGGGATTAAAGGCTTTTTTTTTCTGGACTTGATCTTTTAAACATTTTTATTATTTTATTTCCTGTGCTTGGGTATTTTTGCCCATATGAACCTGTGTACATGAGTGTGCAGTGCTCATGGAAGCCAGAAGAGGCTGCCAGATCCCCTGGAACTAGAGTTACCTTGTGTGTTTTGATATTTAAGCCAGGGACCTCTGGAAGAGTTTCCAGTGCTTTTATTTTTTTTCAATTAAAAAAATTTTAAGACAGGGTCAATCTATATACCCCTGGCCGTCCTGGAACTAAATATGTAGACCAGGCTGGCTTTGAATTCACAGAGATCCGCCTGCCTCTGCCTCTGGAGTTTTAGGATTAAAGGCGTGGGCCACCAATGCCTGGCTTTTATTTTTCCTATGTTCTCTCTATTCTTTATTTCATTGATCTCTGCCTTAATTGGTTCATTTCCTTATTTGTACAACTTTTTAAACAATTGACAGCTAAGACAGACAACTGAGCTTCATCCTCACGCCTCTTCCTTCCTTCCTTCCTTCCTTCCTTCCTTCTTTCGTTCTTTCTTTCTTTCTTCCTTTCTGAGACAGGGTTTCTCTGTGTAGCCCTTGCTGTCTTGGAACTCACTTTGTAGATCAGGCTGACCTTGAACTCACAGAGATCCACTGTCCCCCTAATGCTGGGATGAAGTGCACCACTGATGCCCCTACCATCCTGCCAGACCATCAGGCTTTCGAGGCAATTATTTTTACCTCTCCAGCCTTTTCTCTGGCTCCAGGATTTTCCTGACTGCATAAACTGAAATGGGTAGACACATCATATAGGTGGATAGCTCAGGGTAGACACACCACATACGGGATTGGTTCCTTACGGTGACCATCTAACTATAAAAAGGTCAGGGGGACAAAAAGATCTTGACATTTTGCCTGCTTGCCTTGAGTCTTGATGGTGAGTTCAGCTACTCTGTTGCTGCTGCTGTTGCTGCCACTGACATATTTGCTGATATCAGAACCCAGATACTCTGGCTTCCAACCTGGACTAAAGACCAGTGGCTCTTTTGGACTCCTCTAGGACATCAGTGATAGACTGGGATACTGAGGAATCTATCCAGCTTGAGGGCAGCAGCTACCAGGTTCTTAGCCTCTTCAGTGTGAAGATAGCCATTGTTGGACAACCCAGACAATACTGTATAAGCCAATCTAATAAGTAGCCTCTTCAACATATATTCATTCTATCTGTTTGGTTCCCCTAGAGAACCCTAATACATAACCTGTCTCTGAGTTTTCTAAAAAAGGAAGATAGGGTGGACCAAGATCAAGGTATGGCAGTCATCTTGCACTAGACTTTTTTTCCAAACTGACTGAATAACCAAGTCACCTGGAGAGCTTTTTAAAAATAAGAATCAGTCACTATCCCAAACCATCTTAAATAGAATCTCATAACAGAGCCAAATAAGCTGTATTTTTAGCAGGTTGTCCAGGTAATTCCAAGCATATGATGGTGAGACTGAAAGAGCCAGCTGGGACAGTTCTGCTCCCCATCCCACACTGCCCATGGGCAAAGAGCTTGTGGGAGGGAACACAGGTGGTCTGAGAAAATTGACATCCCCCACCTATCCTGAGGGAGGTTACTTTCCAGCCTAGCACAGAAATAAAGGGGAAGATGAAGACTAAAAAGGGACTGCATGGCTTCCACTCCTAAAATCTCTAGGTCTTTCTCCCCCACCTGAGATCCTGTTATGCCTTTGCCTTTACTTATGCTCTTATTTGTGGTACATGTTCCCCCTCAGGTCCATCAATGCCCATGTTCCTAGATCTAGAAAGCTTTTCCTAGCATAGACCAGGGACATCTCCCCTTGAACTTGAGCCTGCAGAGGCAAAACAGCCTGAAAGAGATGTTCCATTGAGAACTGTGGTGGTGTCTTCCTGCCTGTTCCTGGGCTTAGAGTCTAAATGAGGAAAAGTGGAGGTTCAATGGAGATTGCTGGACAAAAGTCAGGGCAGGAAACTTCTGCCTTGAAAACAACGGGGATGACAAGTTCCTGCCTACCTTGTCTGGACTGGTGACAGGACCCAGGGTCCTGGAGAAGGGAGGTGGCCTGGAAAGAAGTAAGGATAGCAGAGAGGCCAAGATGAGGGGGCCATAATTACCTTTCCCTAGGACTCCAAGGACCCACAGTCCCCTGCCCTTAACTGATGGCCTAACCTCATCCCAGCCCACAGTCCCACTTGAACCTCAGCATAGGCACAGAGGTCTGGAGTTTACATCCTAGAACCTCGTTGGGTCCTTGAGTCAGACTGCAGGTAAACAGTTGGGGAAAGGACACGAGACCGATGGCTGTCCATCTGAGATTTGAGTGTTCACTTAAGTGTTCCAGTCCTTAATGTGAAGGAAGGTTTTGACTCTTCAGGAAACCCTGTTACTGTGACAGCCCATGGAGGCCTAGGAACAAAGGATGTCTACACTGGCACCTGGGGGTAAATAGTGGGGCAGGTACAGTGGTGGATGCCAAAATCTCCCTCAGCCCCAGTTTCAGCAGGTCCACTACCTGTCTGGGACAGGTACCTTGTGCCATTCTGGGGTAGACATCTTAGGCGTTGCAAGAGTCTGGAAATCCCCATGTTGGAATAGCCACATTCCCTTCATCTCTGGGCCTGCATGTTCTTGTCTACTTGGGGGCTCCAGGGCAGCAGATGCTCCCTCCAAGCTTGGCAGACAAGAGCCAAGGGGAGGGTATGGCGGGAATTTCAGCTCAAGGGTTGGGCTAATCCTGTAAGAGGCTTTGGAGGGGGCCAGGACCCATGGGCCTGCATATTCAACCTGGGTCAAAAGGCCTGGGCACTTTGGTGCTCCTGGGTTCCCAGCAGAGCCCTGAGCCATCCAGGAATAAGATGCCTTATGGATAAAGAAAGATGGTGGCTATGCCAGCAGGAGCCATTGAGTCCCTGAAGGTGTAAAAGTTGTGTGCCCAACATAGAGGTGTATATTACACAGTGTAATATGTAGGTTGTTCCAGGCAGGGCTAGAATTAAATGGATGCTTAGAAGGTTATTGACATTGTGGTTACAGATTAGGGCAGGGGTTAGCATGGGAAGGATCCTGTGATGTTAAAGTGGGGTTGGGAATTGGGCTGTGATTCTTACTGATAGAGGCTGGTATATCTTGGATTGGTCTTCTGGAGAGGGAATGGTGTAGGTTGGTGAATTTAGGATTGAGTTTAAGATTGGCCAAGGAGTTACATTGTGTGTGGAGGTTGGTTCTCAATTTCCACACACAGGATGTACAATTATGTACCATGTGAAGTTCTGTTCTGACATTGAGGGGGCTTGTTGGCTGTTTTCTGGGCTCTCTGTGTGAGGTTATAAGCTTCTTTACAGCCATCCAAGTAACCATACAGGTCCCAGGGAGAAGGAAAGTTACAACCTTCTACATCAGCGTCACCTAACCATACAATGTCGTGTTGACATTCACCAGCATCACCTTTCTCTGGAACACTTGTCTTTTTTGGAATGAGGTTGGAGTTGGGTTGAGGAGTAGGCTTGTAAGGCTGCCATTCTAGCTAACATTAAAGTTTGACAGAGAGATTGAAAAGGGATCATGCCTTGATAGTTCGCAGAGGGCAGCCTGAATTGGGCATGTCTATTTGGTTTGTTTTTCTTTTTTGCCTGCTGTGTCAGGGTCTGGGTGCTCAGTAGTCTGAAGGCATGGAGCCCCGAGGCAATTTCACAGTGGCTTTCAAAGAGGGTCATG